CTTCAAAGTGCCTTTCAGAGAAAATTTAAGGAATTCAGGGAGCTGGACATCAGGTCCAACAAAATGCATTCAGAAAACCTGACCATTTCAGCACTGGGGGAAGGGGGGGCTCATAGTTCAGATAATGACCTGAAACTTCAGAAGGAATGGCATAAAAGTAGAACCTAGGTGAAAAAACTAGGAGGAACAGAAAAAAATAACAAAAAATCAGGGAAGCCAAAGTATGAGACAAAATGTAACTAGCAAGAAACATGCAGGATTGCAAGAAAACCTTCAAAAAGGAAGGTGTCAGCAGGAGGATGCTGAGCCGCCCATGTGGCCCACTGTCCTACTGAGACTGGGAGGGACAGCAGAAGGTGACAGGACTCAAATGCTCAATGGCTTCTTCCCCTCAGCCTGCACTGAGGAGGGTGGCTGCGTCGCACTAACGCACCACTAACATGAGTGACAGAGGTGTATGCTCATGCTAGATAAGGGAAAATGTGATCAGATTGGCTGGGCTGAAGATAAGTGAGGGTAATATTGAGAACTGGTAGAGGATGGATGAGGTTTCAGAGAACAGGAAAAAGGAGTGACACGGTGCCTGTCTTTGATAGGAGAAAAAAAGGAAGTGAAGAATTAGAGGCCACTTAGCTCAACTTCAAAGTCCAAGAAAACCATGGAACAAATAGCCAGGTGCTCCCAGAGACAACAGGGAAGGGGAAGAACCACAGCAAACACACCCGTGTATGCACAGCCCTGCCTGACTTCCTTCTTTGACAGTCTTTGTGGACAGGGTAACGTTATCCACATCTCTACCTCTAACCTTGCTGTGTCCCTGGGTACTGTGGCCTCTCCAGGGGCACTGGGCTGCTCCTAGTGCTGCTCCAGTCTGCCCCAACAGCCTTCTCCAGGGCCAAGCTTGAACTCAGCATTCCCCAGCAGCAAAACTCGGCAGGCACTGGTGCAGGCCGTGAGGCAAAGAGCAAGTCTGAGCCTGGCCTGTGCCCAGCAAGCCCAAGGAGTCGCTCCCTGCACATGAATAACCCAACCTGGTAGCGCCGAGCTGGCTTTCCTGCAGTGTCATTGTCTGTCCTGCACCCAGCATGCAGTTTTTATTGCTGTGTGTGGGTCTGGTTGTGAGTTTTTATTGATGTTATGAGTCTTGTTTTATTGCTGTGTGTGAGTCTGGTTATGAGACCCCTGTTCAGGCGCTGAGGCTTTAAGTGCTCTGGGCTCCCCTTGCTTTGCGCAGCCTCCTCCATGCCATACTGCTGAGATTTGGGCAGATTTAGACCTCACTAGCCCGCAGTGCACTCTGATGGCCTCTTCCCTGCCAGTCTGGTCAGTCGCTCTTGGGCTCCTTGCTGCTTTGATGGCCCAGACACCGTGACATGGCTTCCTAGCACTACATTAAGCTGCAAAGGGAAGAGGGAGATGCCACAGATCCTGATTTTCTAGGCCTCTGATGCCCACTTCTCCTGTGCAAACCCATGCCTGTGGGTTAGATTAAATGGTAACAGTCGTGTACTTGCTTCCTGCGTTAGGATGCCATTTGGCTGGGGAAGGCTGCAGGGATGCTGCAGAACACAGGTCCACCTTACAATGAGACTGACAAACAGGAAAAGCGGTCAGAAAAAGAGCAGAGCAATTCAGTGACGTCAGACACACGGTCCTGCATGTAGGCAGGTACCAGTGACTGTGCAGCTGCAGGATAGAGAACTAATGACATGGCAGCACTTCTGCAAACCAGAACCTGTGGGATGGAGAGGATCACGAGCCAAACGTGTCAACAGCTCAGAGCAGTGTGACAAAAGGCAAACAGCAGCCTGACATATGCAAGCAGGTGAGTCACATGCAAGGCACATGAAACAATCCTGATCTCATGGACCTGGCGAGCCAAGAGAGGCATCACACCCTGGGCCCAGCATGAAGGTACCAGTGGGGAAGGTGCCAGCTCAATGATGAATACAAGGGGATAATGACACCCGACCACCAGGGAACAGCTCTGGGGCCTGGGGCTGTTGGGGCCTGGGAAGCTGCAAAGGTGGGAGAAATAACTGCCCTCGGCCTGCACCGGGAGAACACCCACAGCTGGGGACGCTGGGGGACATAGTGTGCGGGGCTGGCACGGGCACCAGGCTGGGCACCGGTGCCAGCAAGCAGCGGCGGCTGCAGCCCCGCCGTGCAGCGCTGGCAGCACCTGGGGCGCCGGGAGCGCGGGCCGACACCGGGCCGCGGGTC